AGAAAGCTGACTCTCGTTTACATTCTTTGCATCAAATTCTAAATCACTTAAAGATTTTTCTGCTTTCCTCTTGCACTGCCAGGACCTCTTTTTATTAGGACTTGGAACTGGATTTAAGTTTATCCCTTTTAATGCACTTTCCTCTGGCAATTTCCCTTCTTTTCTTTTGGGAGGTAGTCCAAAATACACACCTATATCTGTTTGCTTCATTACTTTGGTAGAAGGATGTCTTGCATTACACTTAGGACCAGAAGGCAATATTTTCAAAGACGTAGCAGCAGGTGTACTAGAAAAGTTTTCTGTATTTAAAATTGTAGCTTTACCAACTGGTATACCATCTAATTTCTTTCTGCAGAAACATGCTGAGTTAGCATTATTCTCAACATTCAAGCTCTCACTTGATAATTTTCTATTTTTACTTTGGGTTGGTTGGGAAGAAAGATATCCTTCTACCTGGCTTTCAAAAGGTTTCGATGTTAAACTCCTAACTAAGGAAAGAGAAACTTGATTGTAAACAGCTGATTCTTCAATTACCTGTTTCTGGTTATTTGATTGAGATGAGTGAAATTCTGGCTCACGAGGTTTCACTTTAGTTGCCTGATGAACAGAAGCAGCAAGCTTCCCTGCCAATGCAGGTGGAAACAACACAAAATCACCACCACGATATGCTGCCTCATGAGGCAAAGTACTCTCATTATTTTGGGAAATAGGTTGAAACAAATCATTTAGACTACTGAATCTATACAACTCTTCATCATGCTTATCCTGAGTTAAAAAGCTATTCACTTTGGGGCAGCTCTCATCCTGGTCCTTCAGTAAGGGACTACGTTGTTTTATAAGCAAAGTACAGCTGTCATCTTCTTCAAGGCTGCCATCTTTTGAGCTTTCTGTAAAAAACAGTTCTTGTTGTGAATCATCCAGTTTTTCATTGATATCATGAGGGTCTTCATCGCTTTGAAGCGGAGAATAGGAGATTCCACAGTCGCTAAAGTCATTTTCTGGCAATGGCAAATTTATGTGTTCTGAGTTGTTTGGGCTGCTTAGTTCTTCATCAGCAAGAGGCAAAGCAACTCCTACCAGTTTATTCTCAACAACTTCGGTAAATTGTAGAGCTTGTTGGGATGTTTGGATATTAGTGGAAATCTTTTTATTGGCTTCAGTTGGAGATGGAGATTTTCTTAAATACTGTGTCATCAATAAGGGATCATTTGAAACTGAGTTATCAGTTTGGTTCCGATTCAAAGACCATCTTTCCTCAAAGCTGCAAAGAATGCCTGATTTAGTCTCACTGAAACTGTCACCTGGCGCAGGTGATGGGCTGCTAAAAGGATGCTCACTAGCTCTGCTTTGAGCTAGCAGGAAGTGAGTGTATCTCTTGTAATGAAATGGAATTGTTGAGGTACACAGAAGACCATCAGGACACTCTGAAATTTTAATTAAAAAAAGTTATAGGATCAAAGCATAGACTAAGCTTTGACAACAATAGTCCCATAAATTGGGTTCCATTATTTAACATTCACGTTGCATATAATAACAATTTTAATAAGATTAGTTATAATTGCTGATACACTGAAAAGTTATAGATTCTATTCTAAAAATAGAATTTGAGAAATTGGTTAATTATAAGGCTTTACTAATTTGGAAACTATTCCCCGTCAAACTATTGTAATTGAGAAACTTTCTATAAGCCATCTTTGCATATCCCTGTATATGTTAATTTCCAGATTTATCAAAAAATGACACCTCCTTCCCCTCAAGAAAGATATTATATTAAATTAGAAATCTTCGTGGCTTAAAACCTAACTTAAAACTGCCTCTTAAAAGCATTTGTTATAGAACGGAATTTAATTCAAGAAGAACCATCTAAGAGTCTATTCAAAGGAGTTTAGTGAAATATTGAAAGAAAATATTTTTAAGGTGGCTTCACTCTATAGGACATTTCACCCTAAGGTCTTCAACTATGGACTCCAATTCCATTCCTGATTTTCAAGTTACATAAAAGCAAATTACTAGAAAATTTATGAGGTTTTCACTTGCTATACTTTTATGGGAAAGGCTAATGCCCAATTTAAAGAAGAGGTTTTTTTGCATCTTCATGCAGTACTTTAAAATAACTACAGGTTAATAATAAAATGTATTCTGAATCATAGCTAACATGAAAACCATATTGAGTATTTTTTTATTTTACTGAATTTTAACTTTTTCAGATTAAAAAATCTATATATAGTATATATAATTACTTGAAAATATATAAATCATAACAAGCCATTCTCCATATGCATTCCAAGTAGGATTTTCTACATTAAATACTTGTCACATATTTTAAAAGATAAAAATGCATACTTTTGTTATCATTTGACACATTTTTTTGTTAGAATCTTAATCACCTAAGACTCCCTCACAGTTCCTCTTCCTGTATACATTAGCATGATGACTAAAACATAACCATATTTAGGAACCACACTATATCTATACTTACTTTTTTTTCAGACAAGGTCTCACTCTGTTGCCGCACCCCAGCTGGAGTGCAGTGGCATGATCACAGCACCCTACAGCCTCAATCTCCTGGGCTCAGGTGATCCTCCCACCTCAGCCTCCGTGTAGCCACCACACCTGTCTAATTTTTGGTATTTTTTGTAAAGATGGGGTTTCACCATGTTTTGCAGGCTGGTCTTGAACTCCTAGACTTAAGTGATCCACCTGCCTTGACCTCCCAAAGTACTGAGATTACTGGCATGAGCCACCGTGCCTGGCCTATTTATAGTTTTCTATACAGTTCCATAAAAATATCAAATCGGGCAAGGTATTTGACTTTTAAGAACTTTCATCTATAAAATATCAATACCACCTTCCTTACGCGGTGGTTGCGAAAGTACCCTGCATAGGAAGGATTAAATTAACATTTATGAAAAATAATCCGGATGTTTAGGAACTTTTATGAAAAACAAAATGTATTTAAACTGTTTTCCAGTCTGCCATTTTCTTTACCATTACACAATTGACTGGTATCTCATCTCTCTTTTAGTTTACTGCCTGCCTTTCTCGTTTCACTGAATTGTTATGTCTGGCCTAATGAAGGCTTTATAGATTATTTAGAAACTGCTACCTTTTCTGCAATCTTACCTGTTTCAAAGCCTGGTGGAGAATCCAAACATTCAAAAACATGCCATCGAGGTGTCTGCCCTATCAATGAGGAAAAAGGCATCTGGCAATTTGGACAGTATCCATCATAAACTGGACGTATCTTTGGAGACACGTGTTTGCTTTTTTGAGTTCTACAGAGCTTTCCTGGAGTGGTCTCCTTGTCTTGGGACTGCTGAATACCATCTCCAGAACTTGAATTTTGACTAGAAGCTGCAGAAGTCTGACAATCTGCTTCTTCAAGGGATATTTCATGGTCCTTCACCTTCTCTTTAGCTTCCGTGGCTCTTTTTCTCTTTCTATTCCGTTTTGACTGGTATTTTCCATCTGTTCCCTTTTTAACAGATTTTAGAATATTTTTAGAGCAATTATTTGGATCAACTCGTTTCGGTTTTCTTTTAGATTTGTATTCCCAAATGTCTTCTTCGGAAATGTCTTCTAACATGGCAAAATGATTTTATCACTCAAGAAGTATTAATCTTAAGTAAATGGAGAGTCCATTTCTTGTCACAAAAAGTTATGGAATTATTTTCCTGAGAAAATTATAAAGGTAACAAACCCCCCACCAACTCAATGGGACTCTAAAGGAGTGGTAATGAACATATTGGCAAGCTAGAAAACTTGAACCTGAGAACACCTGCTGTTCCATTTATACCACAATAAAACTAAGATAAACCTATCACAGGAGTAGCAACTGTGAAGTTTTCCATGATGGGTGCCATTTCATTCAATTATCTTGGCCTTTTCCAGGACTTGATTCATAAGAATAAGAATCAATAATACTTTGAAAATTAAGCACTAATGGGAAATATAGGTTCAACAGCTTCATCTCAGAATGAGCTTTGAAGCTACTGTCAGTTCTCTTTCAAGTGGACAACTGTCCAAATAATTCATAAATCCAACCACAGTTAACTGGACAAGTGACTCAACAGACGTCCCAAACACTAAATGGCTATCTCAGTTTACTAACAAAACTAGTCACAACATAATCAAAGAGGGGTGTAATTCGCAAAAAACTGCCAAGTCACTGCTCTTATCCACATCTAGTGGATGTTTAACAGCTTCGGTTTCCCGGGACAGTCCATGATCTTCCTCCAGCAGCAACGAACAATCCCTGCACAGTGAGCAAAAAAAGTTCAAATATGTGAGAAAAAGAAGTTCAAATATGTGAAAGGGTGGGCTTGTACTGAGGTCTGACTCCGTAAAGCACTAATGGTCCTGAAAGTGGCCAGCGCCCTGTCCACCAGCCTCAAAACGGGGTCACAGGCCAGCCTCTCCCTTCCCTTCCGGCATTACAGGCTGCAAGACCAGGGAATGGGGCCTTAACCCTCTCCAGGTTAAGCACAGCCAGCTCCAAAAAAGCCCTCAGAGCCCTCCCCTTCAGTAGACTCTGAGGCCAGCCCTCAGGGACCCTCGCCACCCCCCCCACCTGCCACTCGTGCCCCGGGGGAGCCGCTTCAGCTGCGTCCGCTCTCCTCGGCACCCCCACCTAAAAATCTGTTCGCGGTCGCGCTTTCAGCACTCCCAGATGACAAAACGCTCTATTTGTGTATAAGTGAAAGCCACTTCCGCCAGGCACTCCCACCTTACAAAAAGCCTTCTCCCTCGAGGTTATTCCTACACCCTTTACCTTTAGAGTCTTGGCGGTAGCAATTTCCCGCCACCACAGTAGCGTGTCGAATCGGCGGATGCTGGTCAAAGAGAGAAACTTTAAAAATAATTTTTAAAAATAGGTTGCCCTTTTAAGTCCTACCGATTTATTGTATTTTATTTTTGTCCTAAAGTCCGCTAATTTCTAATGTGAGGGTGGGGGGTGGTTCCCTTACGGCCTCTGGGACTTTGTCCCTGAAGCCTTTTCCATGTTGAATCTGGCGCTCTCAATGTCCAGGCTCGGCTGCGGCGTGGGGACCCAGAAAGGGCGGGGTAGGTCGGGACGGCAGTTTAATTACGTGCCCGGGAACTGCGACGATTTGGACTTTCGGCACTTGGATGTATTAAAAAGAAAAAAGTGTCGTTGGCGTGGAGTGGAGCTGGTGGAGGGTGAGACGAATGCGCCCTTTGGAAACCACAGGACAGTGAACGTTTCGTCTCCCAGCGAGAATCTCCCGCGGGCCCGGCGGCTGCTTTGGGAGCCCGGAGGGAACATGGCGGCGCCTGGAGCCCGGAGCCGCAGCCTCTCCGGCCTGCTCCCCGCGCAGACCTCGCTGGAGTACGCCCTGCTCGACGCCGTCACCCAGCAGGAGAAGAACAGCCTGGTCTACCAGTATCTACAGAAGGTGGACGGCTGGGAGCAGGACTTGTCGGTTCCCGAGTTTCCGGAAGGTGAGGGGCTGGCGTCGGGGTGGGGGGCCCCTCCTGGCACCTCCCCTTCCTCGGGGGAATGGCTCTTCGCCTGACGTGGGCCGCCTCTCTTGTGCTCTGCAATTCCAGGGATCCCCAAGCGGCCACCAACGGTGGGTTTCTCCGGGACAGAGACCCACGTACTCGTCTGTGTGTCCTGAGTCCTGCCCGCCCCTGATGTTAGCCAAGTAGAGTCAGTGCATGTTTAGTGTCCCCGTTGGCGATTATTGCAACGTTCACACCATTCTGTCCGTTCAGCCTGGTTCCCCAGTGCCGTCTCGTCATCTTTTTGCATCACCTTGACATTTATTGATCACTTTTTCTTGTACCACACACAGGTTTTTTTGTTTTGTTTGTTTTTGTTTTTTTTATTGAGGCGAGTCCGGCTCTGTCACCCAGGCTGGAGTGCGGTGGTGTGGCCTTGGTCTCACTGCAACTTTCGCCTCCCAGGTTCAGGCGATTCACCTGCCTCAGCCTCCGGAGTAGCTGCGACTACAGGCATGTGCCAACACTCCCGGCTGTTTATTTATTTATTTTTTTGGTAGAGACTGTGTTTCATCATGTTGGCGAGGCTGGCCTCGAACTCCTGACCTCAAGTGATCCTCCCGCCTCGGCCTCCCAAAGTGCCTGGATTACAGGCGTGAGCCACCGCGCCCGACCTGCCACACAGAGTTCTAAACAGTTGAGGGAATATGTCTTTATTCAGTCATCTCTATAGCCCAGTGAGGTGCTCGTATCATTCCTCTTTTACAGTTGAGGAAATGGAAGTACAGAGAGATTAAGTAACATGCCTAGGGCCTCACAGTTGATAACTGCCCCAGTTGGATTGACCCTAGATTTGCTGATTTCTTAGCCCGTGTCATGCTTCTCCGCTCAAAGTCCTGAAACTAATACTTTTAAAAATCGGAATCAATTATTGCCTGTCTCCAGGGTTTAAATCCTGGCTATGTGACCTTTTGAAGCACGAAGGAATAGATATTCCCAGCAGGGCTGTTTGTGAAGCACATCTTGCCATGATACATGAAAACATATTTTACCTTCTTTGGATGGGAGTAGCATTGCTTTGCCTGGTGGTGCTGGCATGTGTCCTGGAGTGACACTGAAACCACATGTATAGTTAATTGGTTGGATGTGGCAGAGTTCAGTTAGCTCGTGGGTGGTATATCGGAACCTGCCTCTGACAACGAAGTATTTGGTGTCTTTCCAAGCCTTTTGCACTACCCATGTTGAGAAGTGCTTATTTTTCCTACTATTAATATTATTTTGGATTTGAAATATTGTGGAATTCTTACAAAAGACTTGGGTACATGAATGCTTATCCCATCAAATAACTTTGAAATATTGTTTACATCTATACAAACACATGCTTTAAAAATTTTTTTTGTAAGAAGGTAGTTACTTAGTAGGTACACTTATCAACAAGCAGGCCATCAGCTGGGATTTGGGCAGTGTTTTTTATTTTCCAGTCTTGTTTGTATTTACAGGGAGTGTATTTTATTCCCATGAGATATGACTTCTGTGACTCATAAGTAAAAAACAGACAATAAAATATTCAGGCTTTGTGTTTACCGTAGTATGATTTTCTACTGGATCCAATTATTGAGGCTAGAAAGTTAGAAATGACTATTTTCTTGGTTTCCTTAGCAGTAAACTATAATCAAGAAGTCATAAACGTAACTTTATCTCAAAAACTGTATGATTTGTTCATTTCTTAGAAGACTCACATGTTTATGGGAACAGTGCAGTGTAATGGACAGATTTATACAGACCTGGATCTTTGTTAATCCATTTTGTTGGTTGTGTGATTTTGAGCAAGTTACTTGACCTCTAAGCTTTATATTTCTCATTTGCAAAATTGAACTATGATTTACCTTTCAGGATTATTATTTGTATTGAAAGTAATGTATGTGAAATTCTTAATTCACAGAAAAGCTTACTAAATGTTAGCAGCGTTTTATTGTAATTATTGTTATAAAATACATTATTATTATTAAGCCTGGTAAGAAGCACAGTGAGAGGTAATCTTTCTATACTCCCTGATCTAAGTCACTCTTCACTATTTACAGTAAAGTCACAACAGACATTCATAAATATTTTGCAAGTAGGAAATGAAGTATACATTAATTAGTGTGAAGTTTTGTATGATTACTTGATTTGGTATATAATTAATGCTTTAGCAAAATGGATAATTAAGAGGTCACTGTACCCTGAAACCTCATTAGTTTGGACTAATTGGCACAAATACTAGTTTGATCTGCAGATTTTTTTTTCTAGAATTTTGTTACAATTGAATAACTCCAGTTATTGTTGTTAGTCATTAGCTGTTACTGTTTACTTGTTCCTCCCAACTTTGGCTTTCAGTAGCTAAAAACTGTTCCAAATACCTGCTTTGCGATATAATTAATAATTTTAATAGCTGCATTAATTGACTTATAAGCAGTAAATTTTTTTTCTTAGATTGGCTAAATAAGGATGCTGTACTTTATTATTAGTTAACAAAATCTGTCTTCATAGTACAGAGTTTTCTTTTTTTGGAGGAAAGGGAACACGTTCTTCATCAATATTAATGTTACCTCAATGAAATCTGCAACAGTAATAAGTGTATTTTGCTTAACTTTACATTTAAAATACTTTATTTTGTATTTAGATTCTCATCCAAATCCAGAATATTTCAGTTTCTTCTCCTTGAGGAAATGGGCTTAGGCATTTTGTATGTTTATCCTTATATACATTTCATTGCTTTTTGATGTTTAGTTATATCTTACTCTTCTTAAGCTTGAGTTTTATTCTCAGTAGCCCATTAGTATCTAATTGTCTATGTAAGTAGGTTCGTTTAGTATTTGATATTTCTTTCTTTCTTTCTTTTTTCTTTTTCTGAAGTGTGTTGCTCTTACTTCCTTTCACAGACTGACACTATTTCCGAAAGAATTTATTAGCTTTTTCTTGCTTTATTTGTAGACAGCATCCTAATAGCAGCTTTCCTCCTGCTCCCCCACCTGTACCCCCATCCCTTCCTTTTCTTTCTTCCTTTTTTGAGCTTTTTATCTCTACTAATTTGCCTTCTTAGTCTTTTCATTCAAACTAGAAATATCTGTTTTGTCACAGTCATAAAGCTATGTTGGTAGAAAATGGTGGTTCAGAGTATACAATAATAAATACATCCAACAGCCACAGCCTTCAAATGGTGCTAGTCTCTCCTAAAGTGTTTATTTGCATTAGTCTTTAAAAAAAAAGTTACGTTTTAATGGAAAGTTTTAGATAAATTTTTTCTCTTTTCCTTTAATCATTGTAATTTATTTTATGTAAATTTCAGGATTAGAATGGCTAAACACAGAAGAGCCTATTTCTGTCTACAAGGATCTATGTGGAAAAATAGTCATCCTTGATTTCTTCACCTACTGCTGCATAAACTGTATTCACCTATTGCCCGATCTCCGTGCATTAGAACACACATACTCTGATAAAGGTATCTGTTCTTTAATTAGTTTCTAACAGACTGTTCTGGCATAGTTACTGGAAGAGTGGCTGACTCATTAGCTCATAAGAGAATGAACATTTGGCAAGACTTCAGTGATTCTAAAAGTAATCTCTAATCTATGAATTAAAGACTTCATGTACCTTTTTATAAAGGGTTAAGCTTAGTGATAGTGGTTTGCCTGTCTAAAGAAAACTAGCATTTAGTATATGGTTTTTCTCTGAGGGTAGGGGTATAATTTGCTTTTTTCATGATCAGATATTTTAAAAGGTCTTTTTATATGTTGAGGCTTTATATGTTCAGTTTAAAAAACTGAAATTTTTTCTGTTTTTTAAAAATGAAACATCTGACCTTAATTTTATACTCTTTTTCACTGTGATGGGAAGGTTTAAAGTTCTTATTAGACAATGAGAGTAGGCTGTCATTAATATTGAATGACATGAACTGCAGTGGAATGCAAAATATAACAGATACTCTTTCTTAGACACTGCTTCATTAAAAAATGATTTATTACAGCTAATGTTTTTCAGAGCAGACTAGGAAATCCATTTTTATGTTATTACAAATTCGAAAGATGTAGGAGATTAATTGACTTTAGAAGTTTGAAACAATCAGATTTTTTTTCTTGTCTACTTTCTAAAAAAGAGCATGGGGGTAAATGAAATTAATTAAACATACCATTTAATTAGGTATAAATGAATTGAAGCGCTAATCTTGGAGTGGATTAGAAAAAAAGAGATAGGGTCACGGATCCTGTGATAGTAAGGATGAGAATAGATTATATATGTACAAAAGTAAAGGATATTCTGAAACTTACTTTAAAAGGGAAGTGATAGAGAAATCTTCAGTGCAACTGAAACTTAAGATGCTTCTGAATTGTAATAGATTGTATGTTAAAATCACTAGTCAAATGATTAATCAAGAACTCAAATATTTCTACTAGCTAAATCATGTTATTACAAATTTATCTATATGGATTTAAGAAATATGGATATCTTATTATCTCCTAGGTTTTGGATGCCAGTATTTCTTGTTCAAGACATCACATTTATTGAACATGTGTTATGTGCAGGGTACTCTGCTAACTGCTGAGGAAATATGTAACAAAATTGAATTAAAAACATTATGGAACCTGAGGAAAGGAATAAGTCACTTTGCCTAGAAACATTGGAAAAAGATTTCTCAGAGAAGGAGACAATTGAGCTAGAACTTGAAAAATGAGCAGGAGTGCAGCTGAAAATGAAAATGGGGCAGAAGGGACACTCCTGGCTGAGGAAGCGTCAGGTAAACAAACATGGAAGCACAGAGGAGTAGGATTCTTGCTCCAAGAACAGGTAAATAATTTAGTGTGGCAAGATGTAAGGGTTCATGGTAAAAGTAAAAGGAGACAAAGGTAGGCTAGGTTAGGGCCACATTGTGAAATGCATTGTATAGCGTTCTTAATAGTTTAGACTTTTTCTACTGTTGAGGATATAGAGATGCTGAAGTTTGGTTTTGATTTGTTTGTTTTTTGGTAGAAGGATGACATTTGTGTTTTAGAATGGCATTACACATGGAGTTAAGAATCTCAAAGTTTATCAGTTCCATACCTAAGATCACCCCTAAAAGACTATTTGGTGAGCTTGGGGTTAACTCCATACCTGAAGCAGATTCAGTGACTTCTAGAGTGGATGGGTCCCTATAATCAACAGTTTACTGGAAACATTGTTTTTATAGCACATTGTGACAAAAAATTAAAAATATTTTTATATACAAATACACTTCTGAAAAGTAAAATACTTTGTAAGTGGAGTGAGAATTCGCTCTCAGTTTCAACAAAGAATCACAAATCATACACAAAGAAACAGGAAAGTGCAGCCCATTCAAAGGAAAAAAATAAACCAATAGAAATTGCCTCCAAAAAATATCTGATAGCATATTTATGAGACAAAGACTTTAAAACACTGTCTTAAAGATGCTCAGATAACTAAAGAAAGATATGGAATAAGTTTAAAAAAAAATGTATGAAGAAAATGGAAATAGCAATAAAGAGAGAAAATCTAAATAGAAGCCAGAAGGAAATTCTGGATCTGAAAAGTGCACTAACTGAAAGGAGGAACTCACCACAGAGGCGGGGCTCCTTGACTTACAATGCAGCTGATAAACTCATGGTAAATTGAAAATATCATTAAGTTGAGAAAGTATGTTTAATGCTTGGTAGCACAGCAGATGGTCTCTGACTTATGATGATTCAACTTAAAATATTTTGACTTAATGGTGGTATAAAGGTGACACTCAGTAGAAATCATAAATCATAAGGAGCTCTTTTACTTACAGTGGAATTATGTTCAGATAGACTCATCGTAAAGTTGAAAAATCATTAAGTCAGACCCTCATAGGTCAGGGGCTGTGGAGAAATTCAAAGACAGAGCTGAGCAGACAGAAAGAAGAATCAGTGAACTTGAAGATAAGGCAATGGAAATGATTGAATCTGGGGAACAAACAGAACAGAGATTGAAAAAGAGTAAACAGAGCCTAAAGGACCTTGGAATACCATCAATCAAACCAGCATATGTGTTTTGGCAGAGAATATTTGAATAAATAATGGTTGAAAACTTCCCAAATTTGATGAAAAACATGAACACAAACATCTAAGAATGTTAGTGAAGTCCAAGTAGGATGAACTCAAAGAGAACCATGCCAAGACACATTATTGTCAAACTGTCTAAAACCAGAGAGAGAATTTTGAAAGCAGCAAGAAAGAAGCAACTCATCACATACAAAAACTTCAATAATCAGCTGATTTCTCATCAGAAACTTTGAAGGCCAGAAGGCAGTGGGCCAATGTATTCAAAGTACTAAAGGAACAAAACTGTCAATGAAGAATTCTACAACTGGCAAACTGCGCTTCAAAAGTGAGAGAGAAAGCAAGACATTTCCAGATAAACAAAAGCTAAGGGAGTTCATTACTGGACCTGCCCTGAAAGAAATGCTAAAGGAATCTGAAATGAAAGGACATTAGACAATAATTCAAAGCCTGTGAAGAAATAAAGATCTCAGTAAAAGCAAATACATGGGCAAGTATAAAAACAAGTGTTATTGTAACAATGGTGTTTAGCTCCATTTTTTGTTTCTACATGATTTAAGAGACTAAAATTATTCTAAAAGCTAATGTTATTGTGATGTCACATTTTGTTTTCTATGCAATTTTTTTAGAGTCTCACTCTATTTCCCAGGCTAGAGTGCAGTGGCACAATCTTGGCTCACTGCAACCTCTGCCTCCCAGATTCAAGCAATTCTCCTACCTCAGACTCCCAAGTAGCTGGGATTACAGGCACCTGCCACCAGGCCCAGCTAATTTTTGTATATTTTTTAATAGAGACAGAGTTTTGCCATGTTGGCCAGGCTGATCTCGAAGTCCTGACCTCAGGTGATCTGCCCACCTCAGCTTTCCAAACTGATGGAATTACAGCCATGAGCCACTGCGCCCGGCCTGTTTTCTATATAATTTAAGAAACTAATGCATTCAAGTAATTATTAGTTTATATATTTGGAGATATAATGTATAAACATGTAATTTGGGGATATCAACAACTGAAAGGGGTGGGGATGGAGATGTTAAAGGAGCAGAGTTTTTGTGTGTTATTGAAGCTGGCATAAATTCAGATTAGAGTATAGTAACTTCAAGATGTTAAATGTAATTCCCCTGGTTACCACAAAAAGGAAAAAAAGCTAAAGAATATACACAAAATGAAATAAAAGAATTTAAATGTTTCACTACAAAATAAAAATCCACCAAACAAAAAAAGACAGTAATGTAGGAAATGAGGGATAAAAAAGCTCTAAGGCATGTGGAAAACAAATAGCCAAATGATAGATGAGTCCCTCTTTGTCAATAATTACTTTACATGTAAATGGATTAAGTCCTCCAATTGAAAGGCAGAGATAGGCAGAATGAATAATTAATATATTCCAACTATATGTTGCCTTCGAGAGACTCACTTTTGATCCAAAGATACAAATAGGTTAAAATCGAAAGGGTGGAAAAGGATATTCTATGCAAATCGTAACCAAAAGAGAGCTGGGATAGCTATGTTAGTATCAGACAAAATGAACTTTAAATCTGAAAAGGTTACACGAGACAAAGGAGGACATTATTTGTTAATAAAAAGCCCAAGCCAAGCACAGATTGCACCTGTAATTCTAGCTACTCAGGAGGCTGAGGCAGGAAGATTGCTTGAGGCCAGGAGTTAGAGACCAGCGTGAGTAACATAGCAAGACCTCATTTATTAAAAAATAAAAATTCAATACATAGATGATATGATTATAAACACTTAGGCATTTAATAACAGACAAAATATATGAAGCAAAAATCGACAGAATTGAGGGGAGAAATAGACAATTCTACAAGAGTAGTTGGAGAATTATGCCCAATATATACAGGACATTCTCCCCAGCAAGAGACACTAACCAACACCAGCAGGATTGCATATGGGACATTTTCCAGGATAGACCATAAGTTATGCCACAAGTTAATCTCAGTAGATTTATTAAAGATAAATATTAAAGCATCTTTTCTGATCACAGTGAGAAATTAGAAAGCAGTAACAGAAGGAAAACGGGAAAATTCACAAATTTGTAGAAATGAAACAGTACTCTTTTAACCTATGAACCAAAGAAGAAAACACATGGGTAATTAGAAAATACTTAAATATGCATGAAAGCACAACATAACAACTTATGGCACATGGTGAAAACAGGGCTAAGGAAGAAATTTATGGTTATAAATGCTTATGTTCAAAAGCAGGAACTATTTTAAATCAATCCAATTTTATACCTTAAGGAACTAGAAAAAAACAAACTAAACCCAAAGCTAACCGAAGGAAGGAAATAGAGTCAAACAGAGAGAAGCAAAGTAGGTAATAGAAAAGAGAATTTAGGTACAACCAACTAAAAGTTGGTTCTTTGAAAGTACCAGAAAAATTGATAGACCTTTGGCTAGCAAGACTAAG